TAAAACAAAATAAGTTTAAAAAAACACATAAATCAAATTTCATCATTAAAAAAAATAAATATAGAGTCTTCCATTATAGAAGAGATATCTTTAGAGTCCTAAAGATTCCATCGGAGCTCTAAATAGGGCTCTATCAACCTCTTTTAGAGCCCCAACCATTGGGATGACCTTAGGCATCCCCAATCATAGTCTCTAAATGGAGCGCTAAAAATGGTGGATAAAGCCTCATTTAGAGCTCCGACGAAATATTCCGCGCTTTAAAGGTATCTTTCTCACAATGGGGGGCTCTATATTTGAATTTTTATGATGTATTTTGATTAATGCTATGTTGTTGATTAACTTATTTTCTGTTCATGTATTTTATGTGATTTTGTTGTTGTTATTGTTGTTGTTGTCATTTATGATCATTTTAACAACAAAAGAATCAAATTAAGATGAGATTCCAGAACAACAAACACATATATCATTAAGACTTTGAATATAAAAATGAGTACAAACGACTTAAATAAAAACAACATTAAACTAAAGAAAACAACCTTTGATTTATTATTTTTTAAATAATTTTTTCAAATAATTTTTTCATAAGGATGTTGAGAGATTACACAAAAAAAAAAAACCAACAATTATTAAATAAATGTTGTGAATGATATTGGTTGTGTGAAAATTGATAACTCATATATTTATACATTTATACCATCCATTTCTAGTCTATTTGTGATGTTTTTAAGTTAAACTTGTTGTGTTTTACCCTATTTTGTGTTAATATGCAGCTGCATCTACTTTAGGATCAAGTTGAAGGCAAAAGAAATGAAAACATACCATTTTTGGAGCTGACCCTTATTTAAACGTGGAAACAAGTTTCGTGACCTGTTTTGAAGTCCAAATAAAGAATCCAAGGCGAACATGACTTGTTTGAAGACTAAGAACAGAATGGGAAAGCAATAGGGATTTCTAGCCTAATTTGGAGGTGCCAAATAAGGCAAAAACGTGCAAAATAAAGGGTGATTTGTTAGGATCTCTTTGGAATATCTTGCAACCTCTTTTACCCTATAAAAACTTGCCTTTTAGCCACTTTTACAGACCCCATTTATTCTGGGCGAATTTCATAACCCTAGAATCCTTTTTGTTATTCTCTCCTTTCATACACACTTAAACTCTAGTCGTTCCATATATTTCTACCATTAAGACTCATCGCAGGAGGCTGTTCTTGGAGAAGTTCAACATCAGAATTGGTTCAAGGGTTTCCTCTCTTGAATTTATTTTCACTTATGTTGTTTATTTTCATTTTAATCTTTGTGAACATGATGTGTAACTAAATTTATAGCTAGGGATTTCGATATAGCCTTGCAACATTGATCCATGTTTCTAAGTTAAAGTATTCAGTTCATCAATCTGCTTCTTGTTCCATTCACTGAATCTATTGTTAAATTTGTTTGTCAATTTTAATGTTTGATCACCATTAGGGTTGCCTACAGATTATCTGGTCAAGGTTATAGTAAACATCATGCTTAATCTTGGTAGACATGTGAATGAATGAAGAGAATGCTATGCAAACATCCTGCCATGTATTTTCTTTGGTTCTTTAATGTTTTCTTGCATTCTAATGACTTTTAACTTGGAACCAAAGTTGAACATACCAATTAGGTTGCAGGTTATGAGTATTTGATCAAAACCACACATCATATGGCTGATCATATTTATGTAAAACGAACTATGGAAACAGGTTGGTAGTTGAATATGATTTAATTTTATAAACATGTAATTGGTTTTGCAATGGTGAATTTGAAATCCCTACTCTCATCCCTATTCTTTCTACATCAATATATCATTCACTGCTACATTCTTCTTGCATTTGAAGTCATTTTTCATTTACAACACAAAAACTACTTTCAATTTGTCACTTTCATTTTTAGTTAGGGCTCTTTCAAAACTAGTAATTTATAGAGGTCCAATCGGTCTTTGTGGTTCGACACCCTTAGTTGTACCCAATGATTAAAATATCGGCCGTGCAGATAATATTGGATCTCCAATTTAAGGATATTTCGAGAGATATATTGTTATCATTTTAGATATCGGAAAAAAATCAACAAAAATGGCAGATAAGGCATTGAAACACATAATTTTGGTTCAAAACTTTCATAGATGTTATGTACATTATCAATGAATGTGTTGAATAAATAAGACTCAAAATTTACTAATAATAAGATATACATATGATGAAATATAAGTGGTATGTAATGCACAATAATGAAAAGTTTGAAAATAAAATGTTGATTAGAATGAATAAACAATGCATAAATCCATAGTTTGTTTAAACATTGGATTACAATTTAGAGAAGTGTCTGCCTACATAAATGAAGAACTCCTATGAGGTTCAAACAATGAGGAACAACCATCTGGATTCATACAATAGTCATACCATGTCATGTAACCCGAGCAGTTTGTAAGCCATGTTTGAACATGGTGCACATAGGTATCTCTTGAGCTCCCTATTGTCCTTCCATGTATGAGATAGTTAGGATTAACCCAACTAGTAGGTCCATAATATGTTTCATCATCTTGAGCTCCATAACTAGTTCCACTATAATTACACATGACATAACCATAGTCATCATAAGATTCATTTGAGTTAGTAGTAGGTCTATTTCATATGCTCATAGATCCAAAAATGATTGCCATGTCCTCTTTAGATGGGTTGGAGGTATGTGAGCAGTGGATTGTGCATAAATTCTTCATATTAATAAATTATAGGGTTCTGAGCAAGGATTAGCTATTTTTGGGGTTTCAATTTGCTTCAATTGCCTTCAAAACTTCTAATTTTTTTTTGGGTTCTATTATGGGTATCGGGAAATATCGGGGATATCGGCAAAATATTCGAGGATATCACACTTATCGGGAATATATCGTCGATACAGAGGAAGATATGGCCTTACCCCCCAATATCGGTGTCAACAATTGAAAATACCGATATATCGGAAGATATATCAATGTATCGGCCGATATTTCAATCTTTGCTTGTACCACCTAACCATATATTAGCACTTGGAAGAAACACAACAAAAATCTTTAAGTATGTGTGTTTTATAGGGAAAATTGAATTGCACAATAAAAATAAAAAAAGTGTTGAATAATGCTTGAGTAGCTGGAGCATCTTCAATGATGAGGGTGAGTTTTCATTTTCAAAAACCAACTGTTGGATGGGCAAAAGTTGGTTGAATGCATGTGCTGATGGACGAGTAAATAGAGCAGCTGCATTGAGGAGTGAAGCAGCTTTTGGTGTCACTCATGTAGGCTCAACTTTTTTCTTCCGTGTGGGGCCTGCTCAGGCTATAGGGGCTGTATGCATGTCCATAGATTTGGAGAACTCTCCAGTGGGGCTTCATCATTTATAGCCCAAAATCAATGCCATTGGGGATTGCCTTTTTGTTTGTTTGTTTTTTTTGTTTGTTTGTTTTTTTTGTTGTCAATGTAATTCTATTCAAATAAATTGAAAAGGATTACAGAAGATGGAGAACCACAAGCTAAAGAAAAACCGAACACTAGCACAACAAACAAATAAAGGGCCAAACAGTAAAGTACATAACAGACAAAGTGAAGGCCCAAAAACAAAAGCCTAAACTGAAAAAACAGAAAACCCTATATCTGAGCATAAACCACAGTTGTGCCATCCAGAAACCACCTGCTGCAACACTATCACAAATCCGCAATCATCGCTGCAACACCATCGCAAATATGCAATCATTGAGAATGAGTAACTGGTAACAACACATACCAAAGGTCCAGGCGGAAGATGGGGGGGAACTAGCCACCCGCACAAAACATGCTCCCATAATCCAAGGGACAAGAGTTTTAAACGCATCCCTACACCACATATAGATACCGCCACCTAAAGGACCGTAGCAACATAAAAAGTAATTTTTAATGCTTTTCAATATGCAGGGCCCACTAATTTTTCATGCTTTTGCAGGTTCAATTTTCAAAATGTGGGGCTTGCTGGGGCTCTAAGACCATCTCCAACCATGTTAGGGCTAAACTCAAATTTTCACCCTCCAAAATACAACTATTCATGTATTTTTAGGACTCAAACTGTTTTTTCCTCCAACCTTGCGGACTCATAATTTGAGTCTGCAACTTTATTAAATTGTTTAAGAATGATTAACGCTTAAATTTTTTTTGTCATTAATTTTTCTTGACATTAATTTTGTTTCAACATTCGTGAATTAATTTTCTAAACATTTTAATCTTAAAAAATTAAAATTCCATGAACATAACTTTTTTTTTGGCTTGAAATTAAAATGAGAATGATTGTATAGTTTGAGAGTGGGATCTCATTTAGATAAATTACAAATATTATTTTAACCATTTGATTTTAATTTTGATAATTGGATCTTCTTTTTCTCGTTAAAAATCAAGTTGAAAAAAATATGGGCTGTTTATATCTATTTGAGAAAGCTTGAAAAATGACAAAAAGTTGGTTCCCATTGCTTTACACGTGGCCAGCTTTTAAAGGCTCCAAAAGATTATATAAAGAATTAAAAAAAGAACAAGTAGATGCATAATTGGTTTTCAAAGGGAGCTGTTGGATTCCAACGTCCCTTTGATGTGAGCCTTCCACGTGTCCAGCAAATTTGCTCTGTCTTGTCATTCCTTCACATGCTGCACAAGTTGACTTCGACTTGGGGCCCACAGAAATTCCACCCAGACTTGAAAGTTGGGCCAAATTCCACCCAAGATTTTAGTCTGACCCAAATTACCACCCCTCATTATACATGGTTGGAGAAGGTTTTTGGGGCTATAATCCTAAAATTTGGGTTTGGCCCTCATGGTTGGAGATGGTCTAAGACTCTATGCAAGTCCACAAATGTAGGATTATCTCCAGCCAATTTTATGATATATAGCCCGAAAATTCTTCCATTGGGAATGCGTATTTTGTACTTGGGCTCTATATTTATGAGCCCTAAGGTAGTACAGCCCAATTTAAAACCCCTATTGGGTAAACTCTGAAAATGGCACAGATCATATTATGTTATCTTCATCTTCTTTTTTATGTTTTTTTAATCGGGAAGATACTTTAATGACTACCTACAAAAACTGCAGCTCCTCCCTACCTTGGTGGTGACTCAGAAGAAGTCCGAATAATGTTATGCTCCTTCCTTGGTGGTGACTTTTGTTTAACGTTTAGATAGATTGCACGTTCAATTCAGGCAGCAAGAGTGCCTCCAAGGTCACGTCGTTAAAAATCGATCAAGGAATGACAATGATGCCACGACGGATTCACTCCCAATCCCAAGGAAGAAAAATGAAAGAAGCTAAAACCCAAAACAAAAACCAAAAAAACAAAAACAAAAACATAAAAACAAAAATGCCACGTGGCATCATGTCAAATGGAGCTTGTATGTATGTGGGCCAGGGCCCACTGCGCACATCCTCTATGTAGGAGCTTGGGTCTTGCCACGAGTTTTTCCCACGCTCGATCGGCCTCCACGTGGTGCTTGAAGAAAATTTGTGTGGCGTCGATCGAGGCGGTGCATGTTCCAGTTTCGTCGGCTCTGCAGGCGACGGATCTTTTGCAAATGGCAAGCGCTTTCTTTAATTTTAGAAATAGCCGCTCGGGTTTCGTCATCTTCAGTTCTCCTGGCCTCATCCAGCAAACCCACCGTCCGATCGATGTAGGAATTCGAACCACCGGCGATGAAGATCGATTCGATGTGCTTGAAATAATCGGCCGTGAAGTTTGAGTTCGGATCGATTTCGCGTAGCAAGTGGTGAGGTATGCCTCTACACTCCTCCTCAGTGACTTTGTCCAGGCCTTTGTAGACTTGCATTTTGTCAGAGTTTATAATCTCAGCAGGGAAACGGGCTGCGAGGTCTATGGAAAGCCTGGACTTGCCAGTCCCGGTGGCTCCCATTACAAAGATAACCTTATCTTTTCGCCGGAATAATGGATCCATGTTGATGCTGTTCAGGTTGACCCGAGAAGAAAAAGGAAGGAGAAAAACACATGTAAGATTTCAATTTTGCGGAAAATTACACATGTAAGCAAAGCATGCCTCATCACAAGAAAAAATGATTGTTTGGACCACTGTACCTTTAATAACAAACTTGTTGCTGTAGAGAAAAACCAGAGAGAGAGATTGCCTGAGCGGAAGGGATGAGCCTGGTATGGCATTTATGGAGGTGGGAAAAGGCAAGCGAGTGTGAAACTCTTGCGAGTAATTGGACTTCCTCATCGATCACCAGACGGGCCAGACCCAAAGAGCCTTTTGGGCCAACTCGAACTTAAGGTTTCCAAACCCACGTGGCATCTTCAAGCCGAAAACAGCAACAGTCTCTCTCCATTGCCACGTCAGCAACGACAGTAATCACAATCAGAGAGAGAGAGAGAGAGAGAGGGACGGAGAGATCAGGGACCTTGACCATCTCTCTCAAGTTTGATGCGGATTTGCAAATTATCACATTTCTTACCAAATCTTCACCTGATATTTTCATTCATACCCAATAAATAATAATAATAATGGCATTCAATCGGAGCTTCTGACATGAATCTCTCGTCGTCCTCGTCTGCTTCTTCGTCGTCTTCGACCGGTTCGTGGTTCTCCGGCGTGGTCCGCGGCCGGTCGGACCGGTCCGGGTCCGTCAAGATGGGCTCGGATTCTGTCTCCGGCGGTTCCGGCGACTTTTCTGGTTCCGTTGTACGGAAGAACCAGTTCCGAGGCGTGCTCTTCAAGTACGGCCCAAAGCCTATTCAGGTCTGTCAGTCTGTAATTTTATGTTTCTTGTTTCCGGATTGTGCTGCATTTAATTCAAATTTTAGTGGGTCGTGGAGTTTTGAGAGCTCGATTTCTGTTTGGAAGTTGGAGTTTTTGAAAGAATTGGGGTGAGTGATGCCATTTTGTTATTGAAAACTGCCATTTTTAACTTCTAGGTAGTCTGAATTATGTTGAAGGGGTGCTTTTAAGATTTGAATTTGGTGGGTAAATTTTTTTTTTGAGCAGTTTCCGATTACCGAGATTGGGATTTGAGGTGAAAGGCCGGAACTTTGGTGAAAAAGGTTAAGATGGGTTTGATGCAAAGTATATGTGAAGTAGTTCACTGGCGGCTACGAGAGATCGGCATTTCGAGAACGATAGTATTTTCAAAATTTCAATTGCCAGTCAAAAAACGCAATTTTTATGCATTAGCTAGTCTGAATTATGTTAGTGGGGGTGGCTTTTAGATTTGAATGTGGTGAGTAAAATAAAACTACCAATTACTGAGATTAGGATTTGAGGTGAAAGGCTGGAACTTGGTTGAGAAGGTTAATTTAGGTTTTGGTAACTTGCAAATTATATGTGAAGTAGTTCAGTGGCTGGCAGCTATGAGCGAACAGCATTTCAAGAATGATAGGGTTTTCAAGATTTCAATTGTTTCGGTGGTCTTGGTTTCGGTTGGGCACGTTTTGTACAGTTAAATATGGAAACTAAATTTGAGTATAAAATGCTCATAGGATTAGGTAAATTGGATTTTAGGATTAAGGCTAACATTCAAACAAAGAAAAGTTACTCTCTTAATATGGGCTTAATTCAACCAGACTATACTGTGGATATCTTTTCCCTTTTCGCAGTGCATGACTTGTTTAAGTTATTTTGTTCAAAAGTTATTTTGTTCTGGAAAATCATCCATTTTGATTTAATTGCTGTTTGTTATTGTTGTCTAGTGTAGTTCAGTCACTATGCTCACTTTTAGGACTCTATCTTCCATGCTTATACGTTAATTTTCTTGATGACATGTTGTGTTAATAATAATTATCCTTAACATGCAGGTTGCATTTAAAACGGGTGATTATAGACAACAAGTCATTTTTATTGGTGGACTGACTGATGGTTTTCTGGCAACAGAGTATGTTACATTGCTTGTGAACTTCTTTTCTTTTTGTAGTGACATTTTGTCTCCCATCCCAATGTCTGTTTGTGTGACTAGATTGCATCTTATGCATGATTTTCACTCAGAGTGATTTTCTTAATATAATAAAGGGATATTCACTCTACAATGATGCTGGTTATTTAAAGCAAATTTTAAAAATGTTTTATTCCTATTTATCTTTCTTTTATCTGGTGTACAGTTACTTGGAACCTCTTGCAATTGCTTTGGACAAGGAGAAATGGTCACTTGTTCAGCCACTCTTGTCATCTTCATACAGTGGATATGGCACTTCCAGCTTGCAACAAGTAACTTATTTTTAACCTGTCACATTCAGTAGGGGAAACATTCTTCATAGGTCTTGATTAATCCACTGCTTCCTATGTTCTTATGTACAATATATTCTTGTAAGTTGCAAGACAGTTAGGGTTCAGTTGTATTGTATCTATATTAGTTTAAGGATCCATGGTGACTGGTCTGGACCTTTTCATCAAGATTTATGAGACTATTATTCATGTTTGATCTTTCTGTTTTAATTGGACTAAGTTGGGCTGAAATTGGGCTTTGATTACTTATTTAAAATACACATATGTACATATATTTTATCGTTCCTGGTTTTGGGGTTTGGGCATTGAGTTACAAAATATTGGTGCTTTTACTTATAAATACCATTGCCTTTTGTATTGAAGGATGCAATGGAACTTGATCAGCTGATCAGTCACTTTATAAACAAAGAAGATTCTGAGGGTGTGGTACTGCTTGGCCATAGTACTGGCTGTCAGGTTTGTGTTGATTGCATCTTAGACATGAACTTATGACGGTGTGATACCATTGCACTCATCATTATCACTTTTTGGGGCTTATAGTTACAATTCCATATTTTTGGTTATGACTCTAGGATATTGTACATTACATGCGCACAAATGCTGCATGCTCCCGAGCGGTCCGTGCTGCCATTCTGCAGGTAGTACCCTTTCCATACTTTGAAGTTTTTAATTTATATTGATATGAAAATTTGAATGCAAATAAATTCTAGATGCTAAAGCACTTCATTCGTAATTAATGCATTGAAGATTATCTTGTCATATGGGTGTAAAGTTGGCTTCCCTTCTTTTCTGCGCTTACTGGTTGATTCCATCAATTGATCGATTTTAAGTTGTGGTTGATTGAAAATATGCTGGTAGAGAGATGTGCACTCAAAACTAAGATATTTTCATAAAATAAATGTCTTTTCTAACTCATAGTATGCGTACATCTTGCTAAGCCATCTTTCATTTGATGTCTGATGATTGATGTGAAAGTTCTTCTTCTTGCTTACGGCGACATCTTTTACCCTTGTTGGCTATATGCACCTTTACTTGAATCTTTGGTGGTAATGCCAACTAAAATGTTCAGGCTCCAGTCAGTGATCGGGAATACAGAGCAACTCTTCCCGAAACAGCTGCTATGATTGACTTGGCTTCAACCATGATCAGTGAAGGCCGTGGGTCGGAGTTATTGCCAAGTGAAGCAGATCCAGGAGCCCCAATAACTGCCTATCGGTGAGTATACACCCATATTATCATTATCTGAAGTAATAAATATGAAATTGAATTATTTATTACCAGTTTTTGGGATAATATTTATTTGGAAGGAATTGGTTTTAAAATGCAAAGAGGTGCACAAGAGGTTCGGCTGGTCTGGATCCGGTACGAGCCTGATCTAATTATATAGAGATGTACAATGTGTCTGTTGCACCATGACGCTAAGAAATTGTCTTGCTACTTGGCCACCGAGTTCCATATTGTCTTTCTTTGCTGCTATTTTTCATTGTCTAAAGAACGAATTGCCTTGCAGGTATCACTCTCTTTGTGCATACAACGGGGATGATGACTTGTTTAGTTCTGACCTTACTGACGACCAGCTGAGGTTGAGACTTGGGCGTGTTTGTAATGTATCTTAATTTGATTTAAAGTAAAATTTTAGGCGAGATGTTAACAACTTGAGCAGAGGAAGTAAATAAAAGAATTTCAGAATAAGACTATTACTATATTTTCAGCCAGGCAAGTTCATAATAACACAACTCTTTTAGAGGGTAAAAAAGATAGAAAACAGGAAGACAAAGGTATAAAAATATTGCTCAAGGATTCAGCTCAGTAAAAATGGTCAATACATTATCAGCCTCTTGGTGACAAGCATGCGTTTTGTTTACCTTCTACAAGAAGGATGTTGCTTTCTGGTTTAGTGAATGGCAATATCAATGAGTACAAATTAAGTCATATTTTTTTATGCAGGTTATGTATTCCATGGCTGATGAATATGTGCCAGACTATGTTGACAAGAAAGCATTGGTCCAAAGGTAAGATACCAAAACTATTTTGCTTATTTTACATAAATTTCATTTTGTTTAAGAAGAAACAAAAAATAATGCCTTACAGCATGCTAATCTCTTTTCCTGTGGTGCTTGCATGTGCACACTGGAGCTGTGCATGTGTAAGGGTTTAATCTATGATGTGTTTAAACAATTGTGTTGGTATCATGGATCTCATGCAGATTGTGTAAAGCAATGGGTGGTGCAGAGAAAGTTGAAATTGAATATGGTAATCACTCCCTTTCTAACAGAGTTGATGAAGCTGTCCATGCCATTATTGATTTTGTTAAGAGAGAGGGACCTAAAGGCTGGGATGATCCGTGGCATTAGTTTAGTGTGTTGCTCTATTTTCCTCCATTTTCAATTCTAAATTCTTTCGTTTTATTCCATTTATTCCCAGTCTTTAATTTTCTCAGCTTTCAGTCTTCTTCTTCTTCTTCTTCTTCTATATAGAAAATTCCAAGTGAATTTCGATCTTATTTTGCTCACGCCGTTGAGATTGTGTCGAACACTCTTCTTTTGTTAACTCATCGGGAAAGGAAATAGAAAAGAAAAGAAAATATTTTGCACCTTTTTATGGGTTTAGCATTGTGGAATCAAACTGATGATTTTGAGGTTTGGTTTTGTGTTTGAACACTTGATATTTTCTTCATATGAGATACTTTATCATCATGTTCTCCTCGCGGACTGGATATACTACAAACCAGAAAAGCTTCATTTACATGGACCATATTTTATCCGTACACTTGAATTGAGGTCTCTGGATGCATTCAAATTGCTTGTCCAATCATGTGAACATAATCTTTTGGGATTTATTTCAAGATTGAATTTGGCTGCACCATCAAAGAACTTTCATTATTCGCATAAGACACTGCCAATAAAGCTGTTTAAAGCAGTGCCTCACGTTATAACTTGTCTTCTAGCTCTGAATTTTGGTGATTCTCTGCCTCTGTAGGGCTGGTTTTAGCTTTGATGTGGTAGGATTTTTGCTAAGGTGAGTCGCCACATGATTTCTAATCGTTATGTGATTTCTACCGGGATCAGTTGCGTGGACGATTGACTTTAACACGACTTAACTAATAATAATTAGTATACGGGACGGGAGGGTAGGACGATGGAAGGTGGAAATGGATTTTTCTGGTAGATGTTGGGTGGGGTTGGTACGAGCCATTAGTGTGCTCACAATGTCTTTCAACAACGTCAAATTCCGCCAACTTCTGAATTACTTCTTGTTTTTTGTGTGGATAAGTTAGAAGAAAAGTGAAAAGAAATATCACAACACTTTCGCACTAAGACAAAGCTGTTCCTCTCTATCTTAGCCCAAAGAAGCCATTTAGAGCTTCACACATTGCAACATCACTTTTAACCTTTCGCCATCTTCTTTGAAAATTTGGCTGCCACCCACTTTTATTTGTAATTTGATTAAACCAATTATTGTTCCTTCATGGTCCACAACTCCTTCACAAAGCTCACATCTGGACGGTCAAAATCAAAAGAGCCCTCTTCCCATTTTCTTTGCTTTTTCCACACGTCCATCCTCCGTGTGTTTCGTTTCATGGGGCTTGTATTTTATTAGTTGGCATTCTGATCTCATGTCCAGATTTAGGCAGACCAATTTCCACCACCTATGATTACGTGTTTATTGTCATATAGTTATTTATACGTCGATTTCTATAAAATATTCCAAATTTCCAAATATATTATTATTCTAAATACATTTAATTTAATTAATTTATTATTATTTTATACGAAAGATGAAGAGTGGAGGCTATCTACATGACGCATTTTGTTTTATATTTTTACAAATAAACCCATTTTAGTAAATGAATGTATGTTGACAGCACAAAAAGAATAAAATACAAACCCAAAATGCCGAGAGGAAAACTCCCCAAACTAAAAGGAACAAAAGCCAACCGAAAAAACGGCCGCACAACAAAGGAACAAGCTGACCAACATCACCATCAAAATAACTAGAAAAACTCAAAACAAAAAAATTAGCCAAATAAAAACACAAGCCAGGAGACAACAGCACCAAAATGCAAACAAGAACCCTAAAGACAAGCTGCTTAGCAGTTAAACGAAACCATCGAGACACCCAAAGAAAGCCAAGCCAGAAAATCCAATACCAATAATATATATCAGGGCAGGAAGCTGTTTTCAGGAAAGTAAATCCAAACTGCAGGGAGGACAGGCTACATTTCAATCTGATATTCTTCTTGTTCATCATCATCAGAACCACAGAGGGAGGAATCTGGCCACATGATCAGGTGATTGATTAAGTTTTATTGTTATTAATTCTCACGTACCTAGCTAGCTGCATGCATGTGTTAATTATTGGTAATTAGTGTGCCCTTCTTCCCCTACGTAAAAATATCAATTGTTGTCGCTTGCTTCAAGCGGGGGGTTTCTATTAGAGCACTTCCACCCATTTGCCATGGTAAACGGTAAGAGGAGGCAGTGGCTATTACTATTCGCGTGAATAGTGGCAGCCCTTGCAAAAGGCAAGGTGTGTTTCCACCCATTGTCATGGCAAAGGGCTGTTAGATGATACCACAAATGTTCTTAATTAGTTTACTATTTAAGTGTGGGGTTAAGTCAAATTTACTATTTGCTAAAATAGGCCCTTGTAAGTTGTAACTCGAACACCATAGATGATAACCCACCAATAATGCAACGTTTAAGTAAAACTCAATTTTAAAATTGGATCAAAACGTGTCCATGTAAGTTGATTTATTTACAAATCATGCCACTAGATCTTTATTCGGTGGCTAACTGTTTTTCATCCCCTACTTTAATGCAAATGAATAATACCTCTCACTATACATGTTGAATTGTAAATAGGGGTATTTTGGGAATTAAAAATTATAATAAATCAGATATTGAGCTTAATAAGTTGGATCTTAGTCATGAGTTTTTACTTATTAAAATCGGATATTATTTATAGGAACAAAAAGTAAAGGGTTGTAGGTAATACAAATTGAATTTGAAAGGTGTATGTCAAATTTAGTATTTAATTAATGTGATTATAGATATGCCACGACATAATAACACGTTCTGCATCAACTGACTTCACAAACTTGTTTATATGTGACAGCTTACCGACCAACTCTAACAAACTACTAATAATCACTTTATTTCACTTCAAAATCGACTATGGGTAGCGTTATCTACACTTATAAATAAGCTTTGTTTTTTTGTTTGTTTTCTCTTCTAATGATAATTTCATGTTGTCTTTTGTTTCTTCGAATCTGAATACGTTCCACCTCTTAAGTGTTCTTTGGTTTGTATTAGCATACATATCATCAAAGTTTATACTAAAATCATTGTTTAAGAACTTTTGATTAATTTCCAAAAAAATACACTGCTCGACTTCTTACAGATAATGAGTCATTCTTTACTATATGTAGATTATAAACCGACTCATATACTGCAGTGACTTGTACAAAATACAAAAAAATAAATTTCTACGTATATGTCAAACTATAAATTGTTTGTCAAGTATTTTCCTTTTATAGTCATAGTCACATATAGCGTTGTTTTTAAAACCTTAAAACATCTATCTTATAATGGAAAAACAACAATTTAGTTATAAACAAATTGATTTTTGTCAGTGTTTTGCCGTGTAAATCCACGGAGTTTTTTTTTTCTTTTTATCTTGCTTAATGGGTCGGCTCCTCGGGTTTGGCCTTTTCTGCGTCCGACAATCACTCAAACATCTACACGTGATTCCAGGTGGCACGACGTCCCAAACCACCGTCACCATGCACAATCAATTTCATAAATGCATCAAAATGACATAAACACCCCTTCCTCACCCATGCCGACGCCCCTACCTATTGGCCACCCTGTCGGTGATCCACCATCCATCAACCTCACCTCCACTTCCTCCTAAATATCAGGGGCATTTCCGTCCACAAACATTATTACCAGCTTCCTGGTGGGAGCACAACTCCCTCCTAAAATCTAATAAATATTTTTCTGCACTAATATTCAATATATGTTGATAACTATTTTTATTTCTTTTTTCCCCCAAGACAAGGCTAATAAGTATATATGTCTTTTTTCTTGCAGAGCTTTATAGTAAATTTATACAACTAAAAAAGAAAAGAAAGAGAGAGAGTCTCTCTCCTTTTTCTCTCACGAGTCTCAAGCCCGGTCCTTGAAGGCTTTGGATTCCAGAAACAGAGTATAAAAAAATCCATCTGACCAGAAAAAAAGAAGAAGAAGAAGAAGAAGAAGAGGAGAGCTGCATTTTATAATTTGTCAGAGTGATTCTCTCTGCTTTCCAGAATTAAAGAAGCAGAAAAAAAAAAAAAATCTCTAACATTGTACAACACACACGCAGAGACCAAGTAAGTATTAGTTTTAATTTTTTCTTTTTTGCTTTTTGGCTACTATTATTATATGCACTGCCTTGAAAAATCCGAGAAAAACATATTCCTTGTCGTCAAAGTTAACAGCTTTCTTGTAATCGAAAAAAGATAACAGCTTTTTAGCATTTGGATTGGCTTTAGTTTATTGTTGTTGACGTTGTTTTTGTTGCTGTTGCTGTTGTGGGTTTTGCAGTCGTGAGATGCCGGAGAAGGGACTGAGCTGGCCCTCATCACAGCCATGGAGTCTAAGTCCAAGGTCGGGTCCTTTGCTTCATTGGCGAGTTGGGGTTTTAACAGCTCTGGTTATTGTTGGAATGGTGGTCATTTGGAGCGTCGATGCAAGAACTATGCAGAGCTTCGTTACAAGGTCCCGCCAAGCTTACCTCGTCACAAAGGTTAGTGCTTTAACTAATCTCGCCCAAAACCATGAAAATGGGGAGTTTAGCTCCTTGCACATTGCGGCAAATCAGACCAAGAACCAAACCAAAGTGACCCAGTTCAAAACCCACTTTGATTCTCATGACCCAGTTAATCTTTCGCGTTCTGAATCGCTTTCTGAGCCTAATTCAACTGGGGTTTCTGTAAAGTTGGATATAAATCAAACGCATCCTGTAGTTCCAGCTGATTTGAGTTGGGTTTCAGCTGGATTAGAGCCTAACGTTACAAAGAATCTTTTAGCTCGGTGGCTAGCTCCTGGAGGAGAGCCTTGCAGAGCTTCTAAAACAGTGGAAATTGCAATTCCTGATTTGGATGGTAGGGATCTAATTGAGTTACCAGCTGGCGAAATCTATGAATTTGGTTTTCGAGCACTGAGTGATGACAAGAAGCCTCGCTGTTTAGGTGGGGATTACTTTGAGACTGATCTTTCTGGGGACTCATGGAAATCTAGGCCTGTTGTGAAGGATTTTGGCAATGGATCTTATTCTGTCTCGTTTCAAATTCATCCGGACTTTGTGGGGTTATACAATCTTACTATTATTCTCCTTTTTAGGCATTTTGAGGGTCTAAAATTATCACCACACCGGTTTGTGTATGATCGAGAGCTTCGAAAGATACCAATCAGGTTTACCAAAGGCTCCGCTAAATTGCCAGAGCTACATACTTGCAAAGAGTCCGATTTTGGAAGAGATATTTGGACTGGAAGGTGGACTAGGCATGCCAAGAATGATGCTTGTGAAATTAGTGAAGATGGTCGGTACCGGTGCCTAGCCCCAAATTTTCCTTGCCCAAGTCCATGGTGCAATGGTTCATTGGGTTTGTTGGAGAGTAATGGTTGGGTTTACTCCGCACACTGTTCTTTTAGGTTGTTTTCAGCTGATGCTGCTTGGAATTGCTTGAAGAACCGGTGGATTTTCTTCTGGGGTGATTCCAACCACGTCGACTCAATACGGAACATTCTCAATTTTATCTTGGATCGGCCTGATATAGCTGCAGTTCCTAGACGGTTTGATATGAATTTTACAAACCCAAAAGACCCTTCACAGACAGTTCGAATTACAAACATTTTCAATGGTCATTGGAATGAAACACTGAATTACCAAGGTTTGAATTCTTTGCAAAATGAAGGATTTAGGAATTTGATAAAGAAGTACTTCTCAGAAGACACGGTTCCAGATACTATAGTCATGAATTCTGGATTACACGATGGGGTAAAATGGTCTAACATAAGATCATTCATTAATGGGGCAAGCTATGCAGCATCATTTTGGGTGGAAGTTATGGAGTCAATAAGGCAGAGAGGATTGGCAGTTCCAAGAGTCATTTATCGTACCACAGTAGCTACCGGCGGGTATGCACGAGCTCTGGCATTTAATCCTAGTAAGATGGAGGCATTCAATTGGGTATTGTTAGATAAATTGAAGGAAGCTGGGATCCTTTCTGGTGTAATTGACAATTTCGATATGACCTTCCCGTGGCATTACGATAACCGGTGCAATGATGGGGTACACTATGGCCGACTTCCTGCAAAGATGAAGTGGAGAGATGGTGTCATCGGGCACCATTATTTTGCAGACCTTATGTTGGATCATATACTGCTGAGTGCACTTTGTGCCAGCTACCAAGGTTCTGCAAGCAGGTGAAGCAATTCACTTTTTGAGGCAATTTTAGAAGGAAAATGGTGCTTTGGCGCTATTCTATCAAGAGAATCTCAGATGCAGGCCCTTCCCAGAATGCCGGAATGCATGGTATTTAACACAGTTCTGCTAGTGCTTCAAGGCAGAGTGTGAGATGGTGCATTCATTATTTTGATCCATACTGTTCATTAGATTGGCTTTATCATTCTTTATTTGTTTATGTATAGTTACATATGGTTTAGAAGATGAATTCAGATATTCTCATATTATTATTCTTCTCCAATATGGAGGTATTTATACAAGTACAAAGATATGTTAATCCTAAATAAAATAGGAAATATATCTAAATTACAATAGAAAATAAATATAAATTATAATAGGAAATAAATCTCAATTATAATATGACTAGATAAATGGTAAGTAACTAAAATCCTAACATAGTAAGAAACCAAAATCCTAACTAAGTAAGGACTCGCCAACACTCCCCCTTAAGTTGGGCAAAGATATTTCGTAGACCTAACTTCACAAGCGAGTCACTGAACACCATACTTGAGAAGCACCAATTGTAGAGAATGTCTTTTAGTCAACCACGAGTGAAACAAGTGACAAATTAAAGCAAAGTTTGCAGCGGAAACACAAGAGCAAACCCTAAAAAATAGGGCACATAGCAGAACACAGAAATCCTGTGAGCACGGCAATAGGTAAGGCAGAACACAGAAAAAATAGGATACATAGCAGAACACAGAAACCCTGTAAGCACGACAATAGGTAAGGTAGAACACAGAAACCTTAAAAGCACGGTAGTAGATAAGGCAGAACACAAATCCTATGAGCACGGCAGCATATAAGGCAGAACACGTGAGCACGACAGCGGATAAGGCAGAACACAAAAGCATTGTGAGTATGGCAATAAATAAGGCAGAACACAGAAGCCCTGTGATCACGGCAGTAAATAGGCAGAACACAGAAACCCTGTGAGCACAGCAACAGATAATGCAGAACACAGAAGCCTTGTGAGCACGGCAGTAGGTAAGACAGAACACAGAAGTCCTGTGAGCACGACAGTAAATAGGCAGAATACAAAAACTCTGTGAGCATGGCAGTAGGTAAGGCAGAACACAGAATCCATGTGAGCACGGTAGTGGATAAGGCAAAACACAGAAGCCTTGTGAACACGGCAGTAGATAAGGTAGAACACAGACACGACGGTAGCAAGGTATGTGGCAACACGGTAGCAAGATAGAAAGCGGCGGCAGGCTAGGATTATAGGCTAGGTGTATAGTGCAACATAAATAGGTAGTGTTTAGGGTTAAGGTAGAGACGAATCAGAACATAGCAACATCAACGCTGACAGTAGCGGCAACTGCAACAATAAATTCTTCCATATAAACTTGAGTTAATTAACGTAGACACAATTTCTCTTCACTCCTCCTCTCCTCCTGAAGAGAAGGGGTCGTTGGAGTCAAGAAATAAGCAACATCTTTGAGGGTATACATCAAAGTAATGAGGATACGTCAATAAACATATTCATTTCACTCCCCCTCCCTCCCTGAAGAGGAGGGGAGGAAAGCACTTAAATTTCAAGAAGAACGCAAGCACAGGTCACAAGAGAATCTGGCTCTGATACCAAGTCAAACAAAGTAGGGGAAAAAATTCAGATATTCTCATATTATTATTCTTTTCCAATATGAAGGTATTTATACAAGTACAAAAATGTGTTAACCCTAAATAAAATAGAAAATATATCCAAATTACAATAGAAAATAAATATAAATTATAATATGAAATAAATCTCAATTATAATATGACTAGATAAATGGTAAGTAACTAAAATCCTAACATAGTAAGGAACCAAAATTTTAACTAAGTAAGGACTCGCCAACATTGTTAAAGAATATGAGTCTCACATCGGAAACTTCACTAAATAAAATACAAAATATAATGAATGGTTCTACTACTAATAATACCGAGGCCTTTTGTGATAAAACCCCACACTTACTGGGCTTTGTAGGCGGTTAAGTTAGGGACAATATCGGTGTTGTTGGTAGTGGGCCAATAACCCGTCTCTCTGAATTTGACAGAAAGTACTTGGGAGGATGACTAATAATGCCTAGAGGGGATAAATAGGCCAATTTAAAATTATAATCAATAAATAAAAATAAACTTCAGTAGCATGATTGATATGGCTTATTAATTCTAAACTGTGTAGAGTATAAAATAAAAAGAACATGCAGAGAATTATTTTACATTACATGGTAAAACTCCACCTTTGGGGAAATCCATGAGATTTCTCAGTCCAAAACACATCCATTGTAGAACAATAATTACAAAAAATACTCACACACTTATCCTAGACACATTCTAGATATTGTTTACTGATTTTTTCGTAACTCAACTTCTGTCACAAAATGATCTTTTGATACTTCTTATGTTGAATGCAATACTGATCACCATTGCTTCAAGCTCACCGGAGTTCTTCCAACTCTCCTTATGTTGAACACGATACTGGTTACGATCGATTCAAGCTCACCAGAGAAAAACTGCCATAACGATCTTGGTGCCCTCAATTGTATGAGTCACCGAACATCCAAATGAATTAGACACCATTGATCTATCACTAGCATGAATGCAGCCTGTCATGTAAAAAAAACCAGAATCAAGTGCAGAAGCAAAATCTTTACAAGCTTCAGCAAAGATATCTTCCTTTTTACAGCCTTGCTGATAAATTTAAAACAGGGCACAAAAGTGGCCTAAATTCAGTTATAATCGAAGAATATTTCCTCTTCATCTTCAATATCAGGACATACAACTAATTTACTGTAATTGGGTCTTTTCTTTTTTTTCTTTTGGTCACAATTTTAGTTTTTAATTTGGTATCATGTGATTCTTAAGAAACTCTTCTAGGATCCAAGATGGAAAGGTACCTTTCACTTTTAACTGTACCTCATTTTGTCCGGCTTATTCCTTATTGCACCTTTCCAATTTTCCCTTTAAAGTGCCGATAAAGCATATGGTCCACAATTTTCCCTTTTAACTGGCGGGAGGAGTGCTTTGAACCTTCGAAGGCATGCAAGGACAACTTGCAAAATTTGTGTTTTTAGACTCCATCGGCATTTGGCAAAATTTGCCAGCCAACGAGGTCTAGTCCAATGATTTAGATTATCGCTTGTATATATATATATATATATATAAATAAAAAGTTCAGTCTCTCAACCACACAGATTAGGGCCCCCAAATTATTTTTCCCTCATTCTAATTTCTAATCAAGACCCACATGAAATACCAATGAATCCAATGAATGTTGAATGACAAACAATGATTAGCATACCTGCATAATTCAATAGGAATTAGCTGGCAGGCAGCTTGTTTGGTTCCTCGGTGAGCCCTGCCTTGATTCTTGGTTTAGCTAAACTTGGTCAAGTTTTAATGCTAAATGAATGGTGGCCTACAAATACTTGATACTTGAGCAGTTGATGCAGGGAGAACAGTGCTTTAATTTGATTAACAGCATTTTACCAATATGGCTTGCATTGGTCAGTCCGTCCTTGCTAGAGCACCTTTAGGCATCTGGCTTTTTAGGGTTTATCCCCTAGTTTTGAGAATCTGAAATCCAATTGCCAAGCAAATTTAGATTAATAAATAAATAAATTTTCCATGCAAAGGAGAAAAAGAAAAAAAGTAAAATAGAAAACCTTCCTTAACCAAAATTGCAACAGAAAAATAGATAATATATTTTGTGGTTATTGGCACGACGGCATTGAACAGGAAAATACTTAGAGTGGCCATAACACCGCCCCATAATGTTACTACTGTGGCAATATAACAATAACACAAAAGAATTATTCGAACAGTAGTTCCTTACCTAAGCGCGAAATGCCAACTCTTATCCAATAGCCAAACACTAACAAAAGTGTTAATCAGACTTCATTTCCAATAAGTATTTTATGTTAAGGATTGATTATATATTTCTAATCTCGATCGTTGGATTGCATCTAAAAGATTACCAACACATTGGTCGAGATTAAAAGTATATAACTAATCCTTAACTTAAATACTCATTGGAGAATGTCCCATTATAATCGCTTCTTCTTCTTTTCTTTTTTTTTCTTTTTTTTCTTATGTAACACTCCGAAATGGGACAAATGTAAAATTGATGAAAGATATTTGCATCTGCGCCATAGTCAATCTTGAAGGCCGGTAACCCCATGCCCCAATAAGAAGTTGAGGATCAAATTGTCCTGAAATGTAAAGCCAGCATGAGAAGGGAGAAAACCCAGCTCAAACCATCTTTCAGCGAATAATGTCCAGCCCATTTATAGCACAGAACCATTTTTGAAGCGTAAGAGCATTTTCACTTATTTGTCATGGCAAAGGGCAAAGGGAGGCAAGAACTGTACTATTCACATGAATGGTGTCAGCCCTTACAAAAGACAAAGTGTGTTTCCACCCATTGCCATGACAAAGGGTAATTACTATTCACTTTACATTATTATTTTTATTTATACATAAACGATTAATTTTGATACGGTTTTGGTGTGGGAAGTAAAGAATATGGCTAGGTATTTATTAAAAAAAAAATTCTGAATTTTTTGGTTTTTTTGGTTTGACCTTTTTTTATTATTTTAATTGGATGCTGACGTTAACATTATGTCACTTGCCCAAGCAGCAGCGCGGGCTGGATTTACATGTGGGGCTTGCCCGAAGTGGTGGGGCCCACGCCTTGCCTTTGCTCTCTAAAACCGTCACGCAGGCCTAGGCCCTCTCATGCCCGGGCTTCTCCTTGCCGTTGGAAGTGCTCTAAGTGCCCTACAACAACCCAACCTAGAAGTGGTATTTTTTTTATTTGTTAATCTCTAAGATTGTGAAAACAAAACAAAAAAAATTTCACCCAAACCAAAAAAAAAAAAAGAAAACAAAACAAAAATGTATTTTTATTTCTATAGGATTTCTAAGCTTATATAAATTTTACATACTGAACATAATCTCTAACATTGTGACAAAATATTATATATTTCTCTTCTTCTATTTTTTGGTAATTCCTTGCAATTATTTTGACTTTTAGATAACAAGTAAAACTCTTTTTTTTTTTTTTAAAGGAGGAAAAAGGAAATGCAAAGGAAATATTGAAAAGAACCACACACAAAAAGAAGGAAAAAAAAAAACCAGGCAGTAACGCGTTTGGAAAAACATGCCACATTGATAAGTTAAATAATTCACAAGGGATTCAGAAGCAGACTCCAGAAATAACGTTTAATCTCCACCAACACACACA